GATATTAACCCCTTATCAGATACCTTATTCTATAGATTATCTTTTTATTAATTGCATTCATTAATGTACATGTGTTTTTAATTTTGATGTGGTCCCATTTGTTTGTTTTTGCTTTTGTTACCTGTGCTTTTTGTGTCATACCCAAGAAATCATTGCCAAATCTAATGTTATGAAGATTTTCCCTGTATTTTCTTCTAGGGGTTTTGTGGTTTTAGGTCTTATGCTTAGTTCTTTCATCCACTTTAGTTAATTTTATATAGGGTGTGAGGTAAGGGTCCAACTTCATTTTTTTCGTCTGGACATCCATTTTACCCAATATTGTTTGTTGAAAAGATTGTCCTTTTGCTGTTGAATGGTCTTGGCGCTCTTGTTGAAGATTATTTAACCATATATGTGAAGCTTTATTTCTGGGCTGTTTTATTTCATTGGTCTATATGTCTGTCTTGATGCCACTGCAGCACAGTTTTGTTCATTGTAGCTACTTTTGAAATCAGAAAGTATGAGACCTCCAACTATCATTGGGGTTCCTTTAGGTCCATATGAATTTTGAGGGTGGATTTTGGATTTTTCTATTTGTGCAGAATATGCCATTGGGATTTTTCTTAACAGTACCTTTTGATCAGCAAAGTTTTAAAATTTGATGTAAATTAATTTTTCGAAAGATTTTTTTTCTTTTGTGGTTATTGAGTCTTGTGGTCTGAGAAATTTTCTCCTACCCACAGATCACCAGTTCTCACCTGTTTTCTTTGAAAAGCTTTATGGATTGAGCTTTTATCTTCAGTTCTGTGATCCACCTCTCATTAATTTTTGTGTAGGGTTTTGAGGTTGGGGGTTGAGGCTTATTTGTATGCATGTGGATATTCAGTTGTTTTAGTGCCATTTTTTTGAAAATATTGTTTATGAACACTCTTCTCCATTCCATTGTTTTGTCTATCCTTATGCCTGATTATTCTGATCACTGTTTTGATTGCAGTAGTTTTATAGTAAATCTTGAAGTCAAATATTGTTAGTACTCCACCTTTCTTATATCTTTCAAGATTGTTTTGGTTATTTCACGTCTTTGGCATTTTCATGTAACTTTTAAAATCAGCTTTTGATACTATTGTAAATAAATTTTTTTTTTTTTTTTTGAGACGGAGTTTTGCTCTTGTTACCCAGGCTGGAGTGCAATGGCGCGATCTCGGCTCACCGCAACCTCCGCCTCCTGGGTTCAGGCAATTCTCCTGCCTCAGCCTCCTGAGTAGCTGGGATTACAGGCACGCGCCACCATGCCCAGCTAATTTTTTGTAGTTTTAGTAGAGATGGGGTTTCACCATGTTGACCAGGATGGTCTCGATCTCTTGACCTCGTGATCCACCCGCCTCGGCCTCCCAAAGTGCTGGGATTACAGGCTTGAGCCACCGCGCCTGGCCTGTAAATAATTTTTTTTGTAAAAAAAAAAAAAAAAAAGTTGTTTTTCACTGATTTGCTGCTAGTATTTAGAAATTCTGTTGGAGAGAGGGAGAGATAGAGAGACAGAGAGAGAGAGAGAGAGAGAGAGAGAGAGAGAGAATGTGTGTGTGTGTGTGTGTTGATTCCTTAAGATTCTCAGCAAAAACAATCATGCCATTTATGAATAGGGACGTTTTACTTCTTTTCGATCTTTCCTTTTTATTTCTTTTATATTTTTATTCCTTTTTCTTGCCTAATTGCATTGATTAGGACCTTCAGCACAATGTTGAATAGAAGTGGTTGTACAAACATCCTTACTCCTTGTTCATGATCTTAAGGGGAAAGCATTTAGTCTGTCACCATTAAGAATGATATTAGCCATACATTGTTGGAGATGTTTTATCAGATTGAGGAAGTTCCCTTTTATTCTTATTTTGATGAACATTTTTATCATAAGTTGGTGTCAGATATTTAAGTAGTTTTTTAAAACAGTGAAACTTGTTTTGAGGGCTTCATAAGTGTAGTAAATTACAGACTAATTTGACATTGCCGTAATCTTCATTACAAAATAGTGTTATATAACTGGTACTCTAACATGTAAATTGATATATTAGGAGCCACTTCCGTCTAGACAAAATTACTGTGATGATTTTGTAGAATGTAGGAAAAGAAGATCTAATCATCACCTTCAGTGATAACATTTATGTTATCAATGTACTGAGTTGTGTTTGGAGATACTCCTCATAACCCCTGCCCTTGAAATCTGAAAGATTTACTTAAGAATCAAACTGCTCATACTCATCTCCTTTTGTCTATTAGGTTCTGTTACTCACATGTCCATTTCTTGTTTTCTTTGGAAAGATGCTTTAGAAATGTTAGCATGTCCTTATTAACCTAAAGAGTAATTCACTTTCCATTTTCCTCCTTTTAGGTTAATTTCTTTTATTGGGTATATGCTCTTTTCCTTATATACAGTGTAAATAAATGAACTGTAGTTGTTAAATTTAAAAAATCAGAATGTACTTACTATTGGCATTCTTTCCTGCTATGTTCAATCCTAGCAGACTGGCTTTGAATGGTTTTCACTTGCGTTGTTTTTTTAGGAATAATTATCATTTTGGGACAAGGAGTCTTTAGGTTTTCAACTTCATTTGTCCTTGGTTATTTCCAGGGTTGAGTTGGAAAAGGTTCAGAGTAGAATGGCTTTGTTATCGGTGGAACAGTAGAATGGAAAACCCTAAATTAAGCACTGGAATTTGGAAGCTGTCATGCAAGAAAAAGGAGACCCTTCTGTGAATCACTTGTAGATTTCTTGAAAATTGTATCCACTCTGCTATACATGGCAAGGGATCCACTCTGCTATACATGGCAAGCCTACCAATTCCATGGTGTTCTTCAGCTAGACGTCTTGCACACAGTTTCTGTGATTTCTTTTAAATCTGTTGCTAGAGAGATTCTGGTTATTTCTGCCAATTATGAAAGCTTTTACAGCGTTTTAAATGGACTTTCTTGCTCCTTAGGCTTCCTGGATCACACATGGTGGCACTGTGTTCATTGCAGCTTACAGTCAAGTCTTTTAAAAAATATATTGCTATTGTAATTGTTTTATTGAAAAATAGAATGGTAGGGCTAAATGATAACTTAGAAATCGTATCTTCATATTTTTTCACTTGTATTATAAATGACCTTGCTACTTATTAAAGGACCATTAGGTTACATTTATTTTAAGATCACAGGATTAGAAGCGTTGATTGGCTTCAAAGATAATTCTAGTCCTACACTTTGTGAAAGGTGAAGTGTACTCATAATGTAATTTTGTGCATTATTAGTGATTCCTAATGTGCCCTTCCTGTTTGCCACACCCAGATTTCATTTTATCTTATCCCTGTTTCACCTAGAATCCTTGCATGTACTCCTGTATAGAATTATTGCTCTGTTTATTACTAAATGGAACCCATGTTGAATTTTAGCAGGTTTTCCCTCCTCCATCTGTGTCCTTGATGGTAGCTGGGTTTACTGCCGCTCACTTATTAGTGTCCTGGGTCTTAACAACCTTATTCAAACAAAACGTCTTAAATGGAGGTATTAAATGGGTCACAACAGTGAGCCATTTTCTAACTTTTGGTGCAATAAAATGGGTATGTTGTGTTTTGGAATATAAGACTTCTGAGTGCAGCTATTCATTTTCTTCATCTATAAAACATTTTAGAATAACAGCCTACATCTGTTTGGGGTATAAAATTCCACGTTTTGAAGAAACATCACTGTTATGTAACTTCAAGCCAGACGCAGGGAGGGAGCTAGCTTTCTGATGGGCCCGCGTTCTGTAGACGTTGGGAGTAGTGTTTGTTTTAGCTATGGAGCTGTATTTGCTTGCAGCCCATCTTTCACATGTGTAGAACACATTTTCATTATTGTTTCTTCATATTGTAAATGACCACAAGTGTGTGATACAATTTTGGCTTGAAGAATATTTGAAAAATTTTTACACATCAGGAATTTATGAGGGATATTTCACTACTAGAAGTCAGAAGCACGTTTAATTATTTAGGCATTTATAGCATATTTAATTACTTTAGACTGTCAGTCTTCTTTTAGAAAGTAAAGCTGGGATTTACTGTCAGCTCCCTTTTTAAAATAAATACCCAGTGGAATAGTACTGCCAATGCAAATGTGTTATTTTAAAATTATTTCTTTAAACTGAAGGAACAGCTCAATGAATAACTTTCAGTGGAAGAAATGGGCAAAATATTTAACGATAGAATTCAAAATCTAAAGTATTAAGTACCAAATAAGTGCCGATAACATTCAGTGCAATTTGTAGGTGATTTTAATTGATAAGTAAATGATGCCAAGGTGGATTATTACAGTAAATTTTAAAGCTTTTTTTATCTTACAATTTATTTGCCTTCTTATTAAAATGTTATGTATTTGTTTTTGAGAGGGGAGAATACAAAGAAGAAAATTAAAGTGATCCATAATCATACTAGCTGTTAGTCTTGTAGGACATATGTTACTACATATTGTAAACTAAACAATTTAGAAAAGCTTTTAGAAGCTTATTACACTGTTAAGTTTTTGTTTTGGTAATTAATTGGAAATGCAACACTTGAGTTTCAGAATGGATAGTGTCAGATGCTTTTATGTTTTTGTGATGATAAAAAACTAAACTACTCTTATGGAACTTTGATATTCAGGGTGAGCTGGCTGCCTGTTTATGATGATAATAAACTTCTCTGAGATTGTAGCTTGTCAAATTAGTCCAGGCTGTTGACATTGATTTTTTTTCTCATTTACATTTCCTTCCTGAACGGTAGACAGATGATTTTCTTTCTGTGGTCACTGTTTGTCAAACTTGGGGCCATCAATTGCTGTAGGTGAGTAGGACAGATGATGCTACTCTTTAAATTTCTAATTAAATATAAATATATTTTTTAAAATGCCCTCAATTCACATGAAGGTAAATACCCATTAATTCCTCTGTAATTGGGACATGACTCCCACGCCCACCCACCCACATATAGTAATAGTGATAATGTTCAAAGTCCACATTTACTTTTCCCTTGCAGCTGGGCTGCCTGTGGAATGACAGTAATGGGCCCATGGCACGTGCGTGCTGTTGGACATCACCGCCACCAGCACCCACTCCCCGGGCTGTGCCTGGACGTTACTTCAGCTGCTGGGTGGAGTCCACTGGTGTTTAGACATTTTTATCGTAGGAAATATGAGATGGGTTTCTAAGTTTGAATTTCAGAAAATTTAATTAATAACAAATAGATTGTACTGCGGGTGAATTTATATGCAGGTAACTTACATGTCTCCTGGGGACAGTGATAGTCAGACAAGACTCTAGTCAGACTCTCGGGACTTCTTACCTCCTAGTTGCCTTTAGGCAAGTTACACAGCATGTTTGAACCTCAGTCTCATCAACTATAAATCAAGGAAGTAATACTACCTGTCAGCGTGTGCTGTGAGGATTCAGTGAAATGAAACTTACGAAGTGCTTATTAGCAGAATACCCTGGCACATGAAAAGTGTTGGTGTTCTAGCCTTTACTGTTAGACAGCTAATTATAAATATTGAACTCTAATTGTATGATTCTCTTGACCACTCATGCTTCGTTACTACAGATGACTTTCCTCCCTAGCTGTGCCTGGGACTTGATCGGCGCTTAGACCCACGTCCCCCTGTGTTTTGTTAGAGCTTCTCCACCTCCCCCAGCATTGACTGACTTGGTGATGCTCCCTTGGGGGGCACAGGCCTCCCACTCCCACACTGGCTGCTCTGTTCCTAGAGTCCTGTTTTTCAGGTTGGAGTCTTGTAAGTGACTCTGTTCGCCTCCTCTTTCTTCTTTGCCTCTTTTTGCCCTCCGCCTACCCTTGCTCTCTCTCCAGCCTCCTCCTTACTCTTTTTTCCCTCTCCTTTCCTTCTCTGCCCCCTGACTTCTGTCCTCCTCTCTGCACCCCCACTCTCTGTGTCCCCATCCTCTGCCTCCGTGCTTTCTTCCCCTCCTTCCTGCTCCCTTTTTACCCCTTTTTCCTCTCTCCACTCTCTTTCCTTTTCTTCTACTCCTTTGTCTCTCCCCTTCTCTTTCTGCTCCCCATTTCCTCTCTGTTGTCTCCCCATTCCTCTAACGTTTCTTCCCGCACCTCCCCTTACCTTCCTTTCTCCTCCGTGTTTCTTTTAAATGCTAACACTTTGATTGCTAAGAAGTTACACAGCCTTGGCTCTTAAGCACAAAAATGTCAAGTCCTAAGGTTTTTTTATTACGGTGGGAAATACTTATTTTGTCATTTCAGTAGCTAGACTCTTGTGCTTCTCTTTCCATTTCAAAAGGACTTCACAACATCATTTTATGTCCCTTGGGCTCAAAAAGTTAGAATATCACCAGGCTCAGTGGCTCACGCCTGTAATCCCAGCACTTTCGGAGGCCAGGTCGGGTGGATTGCTTGAGCCCATGCGTTTCAGACCAACCCAGGCAACATGGTGAAACGTCATCTCTAAAAAAAAGTAAAAAGTTATCTGATTGTGGTGGCGTGTGCCTGTAGTCTCAACTACTCTGGTAGCTGGGGTGAGAAAATCTTGTGAGTCTGGGAAGTCGAGGGTGGTGATCGTGGCACTGCACTCCAGCCTGGGTGATAGAGCAAGACTTCATCTCAACCAAAAAAGAAAATCCACAGACTACAGTTTAACTCTTTGTATACTATACCTGTGAATTTGTTTGATACTAGTTTTGTTATAAAGTTAAAATGAAATAATAATAATTATAGGCTCATACAGTCATAAGGCAAGCTTGGCTCTTTCTTACCTAATTTATTTGATTTTTTTCTCTCTCTCTTTTTAGATTCCTTTTTCTTTGGTCCAGTTTCCCTTATGGGAGTCCTTAAAAGTAAGTTTCTCAATCTGCACATAAAATTCATCTCTAACTATAATATAGCTAATAGTTTGAATGTGGAAGAGTAGAACATAATGTTGACTAGAAGTTTAATAAGTCAAATCTACTAGCAGTTGAAAATATATTTTGTGTGTGATGTACTTGCCATTTCAGTCTTTTAAACTTGTTCAGGTGGCTGTGCTCCGAGGAAGTAGGCATAGCAGGGGGCACTGACACCCATAGATATTAAGAAAAAAACTTAACTGTACTTTTTTTCTGTATTGCCATTTTGGAATTTCTGAGCATACCCAGTTAAATTTCATTTTGCTTCCGTCTCTCTCTCTCTCTCTCTCTGTGTGTGTGTGTGTGTGTGTGTTTGTGTGTGTGTGTGTGTGTGTGTGTGTGTGTGTGTGTGTGTGTGTGTAGAAGTTAAAGAGTTACAGTGAGGGTAAGTGGATGAGGAAAAATGCAAAGCCTTGAATACATGAAGACTGAGAAGGCCCAGTTTCCCCCACACCCTATAAAAGGGCCACTTGGATCAGGAGCAGCAGGGTGTCAGGGCTCTGACTGTCCCTTCCATCTTGGCTGCTCACTCCAGCCAGGACTAGATGCCCCCAGAGGGAAGGAGCAGAGTATGGTGAATTGTGAGTCAACCTTGGAGAAGGTCAGTGAGCTGTTTAAAAAACCAACACGTTTTAACCATTAAGGACATGGACATGGGCAAATAATTCATGATGAAAATATCAAAAGCGGTTGCAACTGAAGCAAAAATTGACCAATGGGATCCAATTAAACTAAAGAGCTTCTGCACAGCAAAAGAAACTTATCATCAGAACGTTCAGACAACCTACAGAATGGGAGGAAATGTTTGCAACCTTTTCATCTGACAAAGGTCTAATATCCAGAGTCCGCAAGGAAATTAAACAGATTTATAAGAAAACAAGCAGCCACATTAAAATGTGAGCAAAGGACATCAACAGACACTTCTCAAGAGAAGACTTTCATGCCGCCAACAAACATGAAAAAAACTCAACATCACTGATCGTTAGAAAAATGCAAATCAAAACCACAGTGAGATACCATCTCATGCATTAATAATCACCATGGTGATTATTAAAAAGTCAAGAAACAACACATGCTGATGAGGCTTTGGAGAAAAAGGAATGCTTTTACACTGTTGGCAGGACTGTAAATTAGTTCAACTCTTGTGGAAGACAATGTAGTGATTTCTCATGGACCTAGAACCAGAAATACCATTTGACCCAGCATCCCCATTATTGGGTATATACCCAAAGGAATATAAATCATTGTTATAAAGATACATAAATGTGTATGTTCATTACAGCACTATTTACCATAGCAAAGACATTGAATTAACCCAAGTCCCATCAGTGATAGACTGGATAAAGAAAATGTGGCATATACACACCATGGAATACTATACAGCTATAAAAAGGGAATAACATCATGTCCTTTGCAGGGGCATGGTTGGAGCTAGAAGCCATTATCCTCAGCAAACTAATGCAGGAACAGAAAAGTAAACACTGCATGTTCTCACTTATAAGTGGGAGCTGAGCAATGAGAACATGGACAGAGGGAGAAGAAGAACATACAACGACCCTGGCCTATTGTGGGTTATATGGAGAAGGAGAGCATCAGGAAAAATAATTAATGCTCGCTGGGTGTAATACTTACGGGTTGACAGATGGAGCAAACCAGCATGACACACATTTACCTGTGTAACAAACCTGCACATCCTGCATGCATGCTCTGGAACTAAAACCAAACAAAAAAAAAAACCAACACGTCTTTAAAAGCCTGTATTCAAAATATGCAGAGATGTTGCATTGGTTTTTCACCTTCTTGTGCAGTGATAATGAAAACTTTGGGCAATGATATGAATTGTGTGGGTGTTTGTCAGCATTTTAAAGACCATAATAAAGAAGATAGTAGAGGGCATCTTACATGGTAAGAGTCTTATTTTGTAAGACCTCAATGTTATGTGAGTATGTGCGCACACACATAAATATCTGTACTAGGTTGCAATGTAAAATGTATTTCTTGTTGTGGATAATGGTCCAAAAACTTTGAACGCCCTTTTTCAAGTGAAAATGGTTCATAAATGACCAGGCTGTAAAATATCTAGGTAGGCATTAGCTAATACAAAAATAAAGGAATTACTCTCATAATTTTATAGATTTACTAGGTATGGAGTGCTCATACAAAATGTCTTTCGGAGAATATCATAAAAATGATTTAGACCTGGAAATAAATTCTGTCCAGATTATATACTAAAGGATACTAAATTAAGAAAAAAACATTACTCTTTAACAGAGTAAATTATGGGATAATAAGTAGCAAGAAGTATTTCTTAAAAGTGATCTGATTTTAAGGAGGAGTAGTGCTCATTTAGTACAGGTTTTTGGGTATCCCGTTTTGTTTGTTTTGCCGTTTCCTATGCGGTGTGTGGTGAAAATAGAGTTCTCGGACAGCATTTCAGGGTATGATGTAACAGCTATCCAATGAGAAGGTCACATTCCATTAACATAACAGCTCTCCTTTTCAGTGTGTGACAAAAGAACAATGAAGCCAACAGCTGTCCAGCAAACAAGACTGACTTTATTAGTGTCTCAATAACCAGCATTCACATAGCTTCTGCACACTCTAACATCCTTTTGCCCTGCAAAGGAATGTTTTGAGGCCTAAAGAAGGAAAAAGCATAGTGTTTGTTTCTTTTCAACATTAAGGACATTTGTAAAATTCTGGCTGGTTAAGAAATGTCCAGAATTTTTCAGAGTAATCATAGATGACAATGCTATGATTGAAAAATTCTCTTTGAGCAAATGTTAAGATGCTGCAATGTTTTTTTTTTTTTTCTGTCAAGTCAGGTTTCTTGAGGAATACATAACATGATAAAATTCACCCTTTATACATGCACATTTTTATGAGTTTCGATAAATGTTTAAAACCACCACCATAACCAAAACAGAGAATTTCCATCAACCCAGAAAGTTCCCTCATGCCATGTTGTAGTCATACCCTTCCTGCACCCACAGCCTCTGTGACCCACTTCTGTAGTCTTCTCTTTTCCAGAATATCATAGAAATAGGTACAGAGTACTATTATATCATCTTGTGCCTTGCTTCTTTTACTTAATGTAATATTTTGGAGATTCATTCATACTGTTGCTTATACCAGCAGTTGTTTTCTTCTGTTGCTTTGTAGTATTCCATATGTGTATGGATATGCTACAGTTTACTTATGTACTAGTTTATACACTTTTGAGTTGTTTTCCAGTTTTTGATAATTATAAATAAAGCTGCTATAAATACTTGCATATAGTATTGGTATGGATATAGGTTTTTATTTCTCTAGGTAAGAGGCCAAGAGTAGCATTCCTGGGCCATAAAGAAGGTATATGCTTAATTTTATAAGAAATTGAACTGTCAAGGTGTTTTCCTAAGTGTTTGTACCATTTTGCATTCCCACCAACGGTATATGAGAGTTCTAGTTGCTCTACATCCATGTCATTTCTTGTCACTATCAGATTAAATTTTTTTTCAGCCATTCTAGTACGTGTGAACTGGTATCTCATTGGGGTTTTAATTTGCAGTTCCCTGGTGACTAAATAACATAGAGCCTCTTTTCATATAATAGTTTTTAAACATCTGAATGTACAATCACAATGCTTTTGTAGAAGTAGACAGTTTTTGGAACTTTAGAAATTTTTATGTTTACAATTTTATCAATTTAAACTTACTTTTCCAGTCATGGAGAGTATATGAGAAGATATCTCCACTGTGTTTATGTATATATGGAAATATTACTATTTAGGAAATTTTTTCTCAGCCAAGACCAGCACATTGCATACACACAGCACTGCAGGGAGTGAGGGGCTGGAGGTGGTGGCAGCTACGATTGCCTTAAACTCAACTCTGTCTAAAATCAAAGTCATCATCTTTCTTCTAAAATCATGTCTTCCTGCTGTCTCCCATTTCTATTAATCAGTATTCTGCTGGCCACCTGGTCTCAAGTCTCAGATTAAAATTTGATTCCCTTGTTTCTCTTTCTCCATGTCACATTACTCACCAAGTTCAGTTGACTTGACTGTTGGGATTCTGTGGCCACATTTTACCTGGTTCTTAGTACCTTATCCTTGCCCACATCCTAGTAGGTTCTCTTCTTTCTTATCCATTCTACATTTTGAATGTATGTGATCTTCCTTAAACTTCTCTTTCAGTAACACTCAGGTTCTCAGGAACATGAAGTTGTTAGCACTCAAGGTTCTCCACACCGTGTCCTTGACTGTTTTTTTCAGTCTCTACCTTGTACTTTGTGTATGTGTGTGTGTGCGCGCGTGCATGCATGCATGCGTGCGTGCACAGAATGCTTCCCCTCCAGCCAGAATAGCCTCCTTACTGCCTCTAAATATGTTCCCCCTTCCCTGTTATCTGACTCCTTTCTGAAACACGTTTCTAACACGTTTCCAAAAGTGATGCATCATTCAAAGCTCAGTTCAGTGTTTGAGCTCCTGCTTGAAGTCTTCTGATCGAGGCCTCAGAGATTTGCCCTTATTTACTGCAGATTTGTCTGTCACTGACTCGTATTTAATCACACGCTCTTTTGTGTTTAAAACATCTTACAGTGTTCAGATAAGGCCTTAACCCCTTCCATTTACTAATAAATGACACCTGCTGTCATGGAGCCTCTGCTGCCTGTCCACTCTGTCTGGACATTGTTACATTTCACAAGAATGCAAAGATGAATAAGAAATGGCTTAATGCCCTTGAGCTGAGAGTCCGTCAGAGCGGCACACAACTCACTGATAACTTAAATGTAGTGTGTCTCTAATTGCAGAATACTCAATTGTCACTACACTACATCATTGCCTTTGTTTTTCTTTTTTTATAATGCAGATGCTTACCAAAACATATTTTAGATGAAAAAGGACAAGACACCAGAAAGAGATGGGGAAGCAAAAACGGTAGATTATCATGTCCAAAGCGTTAGCGAAGATAATTTTCCTTGAAGATTTGTATTTACTTTAGAACTTTATGACAGACAAACAAAAGAAACACGATAGATTTCATGGTTTTTATTACCTGACAAAGAGCTGTATGTAACTTGTAATTTTATCTTATTCCTTGGCTTTGGATGCCATCTTTAAACCAACTTGCATGTGTATAACTCCATGGCAAGTCCCTTCCTCTGAGCGGCAGCCTCAGATGACCAGCTGCCTAGTTGATATTCTCACTCAGGATGTCTTTGGGTGGCCAGCTCAGAACAGAACTGTCACTTTTTATTTGCCTTCTTCCCAATCTGTTCCTTCCTTGTTGTCCGCTTCTCAGTAAATAGCACAGTTGTCTGATGCTTGCTCAAATAGAAACTTAAGAATGATTCCAGAGTTCTGTTCTTTCATCCCTCATCATGTAGCCCATCAAGAAGTTCACTGTTCTAGTTCAAGCCTCTAACTCACTCCTTGTTTGAATTGCTACACTGGCCTCTCAGATGGTCTTCCTCATTTCACTCAGGCTTCCCCAAAATATCTTCTTCACCTGGCAGCCAGAGTGATCTTTTAAAGAAATGAATGAGGTCAGGCACAGTGGCTCATGCCTGTAATCCCAGCACTTTGGGAGGCTTAGGCTGAAAGATCACCTGAGCCCAGGAGTTCGAGACCAGCTTGGGCAACGTAGACTCCATCTCTACAAAATGTCTTAATAAAAATTATCTACGAGTAGTGGTGCACACCTGTAGTCCCAACTCCATGGGAGGCTGAGGTGGGAGACTCACTTGAGCTCACAACCTGAGTGACAGAGTGAGACCCTATCTCTTAAAAAAAATAAGAAAAAGAATGAAATTAGATCATACCACTCTCTGCTAAAACCTGTCAGTGGCATCCCTTTAAAAAAAGAATAAACTAGAGCTTAAGACCTGGCTGTCACGACCCTGTGTAATCTGGCCTCCGTCTGCCTCATCAGCCGTACCCCGTGCCACCCAACCACTGTGCCCAGCCATGCTGCAGATGCACCAGGGTCCTTACCTTTGTAAATCTCCCTGCTAGAAATATTCTTTCTTCCTTCATTCTATATATTTCATTTTTTAGGTGTGTGATAATTTTTTAATTTTAATTTTTTCCTGTTTTAAAAATTGACAAATAATATCCGTATATTTCTGGTGTACAGCATGATGTTTTGAAATATATAAATAGTGTATACGTCTTTATCGAGTGTCTACTGTGTGCCAGCCATTTCCCAAGGCGTGGGGATAGTGATGAAGAAGACTGACACAAATAACTGTCCCCATGGAGCGTTCATCCTAGCTCCCCCTAGGCCTGTCTCATATCCCCTTCCCCATTCCTCTCTCATGTCTCCTCTTTCCGCATTCCTCAGGCCTTAGGATCACATGTCACCTCAGAGACACATCCCTCCCTTCCTCCCGCCTCCGTAACCATAACACCTATTTATTTCCTTACTAGTGTTTTAATGACTTAGTTTATTTAGTTATGCACTTACATCACCCGAATAATTATTCACGGCATCAGTGGTGTGATGAACAGATACTGTATGCCAGGCTCTGGGCTAAGCACGATGCATTCATTACTGTCTTCTTCACACCACACACAACCCAGAGAGGTGAGCCTTGCTGTTAACCCTTTAAAACCAGGGAAGCAGGGCTCGATAAGGTTGTCTCTGCCATAGTAGCCTGAGCACCTTTTACTGTGTGCTGCGTAGCAGACGGGGACTCAGGTTAGCAGGTGATTTTTTAGTGATGGTAACAGCCATAATAAAAGCAACAACAGCCCACATTTTTCAGAGCTACAACATGCCAGGCAGTGTAGTAACCACTTTCCACAGATCTTCTCCCCTTCACCTCTACCAAAGTTGGTAAAAAGCTGAGGTCATATTAATAGTTAGCTCATTGAAGGCATTTCTGTCAATTACATTGATTCCTTAACTTGATGACGTGTAGCTTAGAAAGCCTGACCAGCATGTTTCTTAGACCACCTCTCTCAAGCATCCCTTGCATCTGCTAAGCTTGGGCAAGGATTAAACCGTGCTCACTTGAGTCAGTTCTCAGAGACCATCCATGGAGAGCACAGATAAGTTCACAGTAATGAGTTCAGCCAGAACTGCATTTTCCACGTGCTTGTGTTGAACCCCCACAGGACGTGCTTATTGGAGGAAGGAACTATGTCTTCTGTTTATTCTTGATGGTTCTGTCTTTTACACAGCAGGTGTTTATGTAACTATTTGCTAATTGTTTGAAGGTTAGCATCCTTTTTCAAGTTCAGTGCAAAGTTGGATAACTTATCTACATTAACTGTTTTTTGCATTCCTTTAGAGGTATGTTCACAGCCATTAAAGAGTTTTCCCTTTTTAACCATACAGGTTTTTCCTTACCAAGCTTTAAGTCGAAGGTGAGCATATTAAAATTTCCTGTGAGAATGTCATTTTTTTCTATTGTCTTAGTGTGAGACATCAGTTAACACTGAGGTGTGGACACTCTTAAGAATACTGTCAGGTCCAGATGGTTTTGCTTACAGCTACAGGGTGTTACTAAAGCAATAGCTAGATGAGATGAAATCTTTAAGCTAACAGTATTTCAAGCAAAATGAAAATAAAATCAGTTTGGTTTTGTAAGATAGCAACATTATGCTAATGCTTTTCTAAGATGAAATCATAGCTTTGTAAAAGAAATCAGGGACCAATACATTTTCACTTCACTTATAGTAATAGTTCAATGTGTATAATAATTACTTAGATCTCTCTTTTTTGTTTTATAAATATTTTAAATGTGCAGCACTATATAAAAACTATTTTCAAGTTTAAGAATAAATAACATTTTTTTCTTGATTCTTGTTTTAAAGATAGTTAAAATGTCTACCATCACCCTACCCACAACATATTTCTCTGATACATTTAGTGGTATAAAGAAGGTAAGAATTAGAAGATGCTCAGTGCTCAGGGTCTGCAGTTACACCATTTCATGAGACAGGGAGAATCTGGTGACTTCATAGACATGTTTGCTCAGAACATAGTTTCCAGTAAAAACATCGTAAAGATTGAAAGGGAGTGGTGAAAGACTGAAAATGCCTTTGTGTCTGATTTTTACCACACTAAGCTAGTAGTAAGAATTAAATATAATTTGTCAATATGGAAGAAACTACCTGAAAATAAGAACAAAGTACATTTTAGGTCAGGCACAGTAGCTCACACCTGCAATCCCATCACTTTGGGAGGCTGAGATGGGCAGATCACTTGAGGCCAGAAGTTCGAGACCAGCCTGGTCAACATGGTGAAAATGCATCTCCACAAAAAATACGAAAATTAGTGGGATGTGGTGGTGTGGGCCTATAATCTCAGCTACTTGGGAAGCTGAGATGGGAGGATTGCGAGAACCCAGGAGGCAGAGGTTGCATTGAGCCAAGATTTCATCACTGTACTCCAGCCTGGGCAACAGAGAGAAGCCCTGTCTCAAAATAAAAGTAAAAATAAACTGAACAAAGTACATTTAAAATTTTCAGATCAGCAGTCAAAGCAGTCTGAGATACTGTTTAAGATTTTAGCAAAATCACATGATGAAGCAGGCATCTTTTAACAATTCAAAAACTATAAGAAAGTTTGAATTCTTAATTTGCATCTTAGAAAGTATGGGATACGCAATAGAAAAAGAATGAAAACTCCTCAGCATCCTTGCATTCAAATTATAAAGGTAAGAAGCAACATTTTCTGGTTTCTAGAGCAATTGAAAGAGTTCCATGTAGGGAATGTAAGAATTGGAAAAGCATGAAACTCCTATTTTTAGGTGAAATTCAGTGAGTAAACAAAATGTTTCGGAAATGTTTGTATTTTATAGTTTGGCCAAGGAAAAGATAAATAGAGATGGTGGAAAAAAAGATGACAAGACCAAGTAGGGCAGGAAGAGTATCGTCTATCTGAAAGGCCCAAGAGGATGGATGGAAGGAAAGGCTGTGGCTCCTGGAGCCCTGGCCCCCTCTCCCAGCTCCTCAGTTAGAGCTGGGTACCCAGCTGCCCAGGCAGCCTGCTATGGTTACAGTTGTGGAGCCAAACTGGTAACACCCATCACATTCCTTACAGGTTCTCTTACTTAAACTAAAGGTAAGATTTAACCATGGCTTATGAGTGCCATAGCCTGGAGGTAGTGGACTAGGGTCCTTTGTAAGGAAATAAGAAGAAGCACACCAGAATTCCTCATTTCTTTCTTTTAGGCATTTTTCTCATATTTATGCAAGTTTGTGACTGAAATGAGAAAAATAGAATCCATCAAGATAAAAGGTTCTTGGGATGAGTCATATCGACTTCTTTTGGCTGAGACAAAGTGTGAGAAAAGAGAATTTTCCACACTTCAGTTTAATCAGATAATCAAACATAAATGCATATTTAGAAGCACTTAAAATGCCAATAATGATTCCTTGTTCCAAGGAACTACAAGACCTTGCCAGCTTATGATTTTCAAGGGACCCATCTATACATTCACATGTAACCTCCTTTAACAAATCGGGGTAAAAAGGAGAGTGTTAGCTGTTTGTATTTGTCTTGGGACCTGCTTACTTGTTATTTGTGAGCATTTTGGAGGTTTGTTGAGTGCGTATAGTTTAAGTTTGCGATATGATAGTTCATGTGCTGCTTCTAGGTCTTGCTCTGCCCCAGTAGGCTTCACCAGTTGATCATAGCCCTCATTCCAACTGAGCCTAAATAAACTTGAGAAACCATTTTTGCACAGCTTGTTATAAAGCATTGTGCAGTTCAGTAAATGCCATGTCTGATTTACAGGGTTCTTCATTGAACTAACAGTGAAAATTTGGGATTGGCCCATTCACGTTTTCTTCTGTTCTTTACACAAGGGCAAAATGATGAAATACTACTTATATGGTAGGTGTTCATGTGGGTACCAAACATTTACCTGCCTTTTTTATATTAGGAATCACGTGGGGCCCTGTGGGACTCCAGAGATGAAGATAATGAGGTCCCTCTCCTTAGAATCAACAGTGAGATGAGAGAGCTTTTAAAGGGCGATGAAAAAAACAAGTGACTGCTTTCTTTTA